TAATAAAAGGCAAAAATAAAATACAAATACATCTTATATACAAAAGTATATAAAACGTTTTATACAATGTTATAACAAACGTGTTGTGAGAATTAAGAGAAAATAACTTTTTGTTTTATTTAAAACTATTGAACCTGAAGGGAAGGAGGAGGAGGGTAGAAGTGTCTTAACCTCAATACATTTATGGTAATTCCCCAAGAACGATCCCAGAACTACCTCACAAGAACTCTACGACCCCTACAATTACCTGCCACGACCAGTACGACCCCTACAATAATATGGGTAGTACTGTACGACCCCTACAATAATATGGGTAGTACTGTACGACCCCTACAATAATATGGGTAGTATTGTACGACCCCTACAATAATATGGGTAGTACTGTACGACCCCTACAATAATATGGGTAGTACTGTACGACCCCTACAATAATATGGGTAGTACTGTACGACCCCTACAATAATATGGGTAGTACTGTACGACCCCTACAATAATATGGGTAGTACTGTACGACCCCTACAATACTATGGGTAGTATTGTACGACCCCTACAATAATATGGGGAGTATTGTACGACCCCTACAATAATATGGATAGTACTGTACGACCCCCCTACAATAATATGGGTAGTACTGTACGACCCCTACAATAATATGGGTAGTATTGTACGACCCCTACAATAATATGGGTAGTACTGTACGACCCCTTCAATAATATGGGTAGTTCTGTACGACCCCTACAATAATATGGGTACTACGGTACGACCCCTAAAATAATATGGGTAGTACTGTACGACCCCTACAATAATATGGGTAGTACTGTACGACCCCTACAATAATATGGGTAGTATTCTACGACCCCCTACAATAATATGGGTAGTATTCTACGACCCCTACAATAATATGGGTAGTATTATACGACCCCTACAATAATATGGGTAGTATTGTACGACCCCTACAATAACATGGGTAGTATTCTACGACCCCTACAATAATATGGGTAATATTCTACGACTCCTACAATATGGGTAGTACTGTACGACCCCTACAATAATATGGGTAGTATTGTACGACCCCTACAATAATATGGGGAGTATTGTACGACCCCTACAATAATATGGATAGTACTGTACGACCCCCCTACAATAATATGGGTAGTACTGTACGACCCCTACAATAATATGGGTAGTATTGTACGACCCCTACAATAATATGGGTAGTACTGTACGACCCCTTCAATAATATGGGTAGTTCTGTACGACCCCTACAATAATATGGGTACTACGGTACGACCCCTAAAATAATATGGGTAGTACTGTACGACCCCTACAATAATATGGGTAGTACTGTACGACCCCTACAATAATATGGGTAGTATTCTACGACCCCCTACAATAATATGGGTAGTATTCTACGACCCCTACAATAATATGGGTAGTATTATACGACCCCTACAATAATATGGGTAGTATTGTACGACCCCTACAATAATATGGGTAGTATTCTACGACCCCCTACAATAACATGGGTAGTACTGTACGACCCCTACAATAATATGGGTAGTATTCTACGACCCCCTACAATAATATGGGTAGTATTCTACGACCCCTACAATAATATGGGTAGTATTATACGACCCCTACAATAATATGGGTAGTATTGTACGACCCCTACAATAATATGGGTAGTATTCTACGACCCCTACAATAATATGGGTAGTATTATACGACCCCTACAATAATATGGGTAGTATTGTACGACCCCTACAATAACATGGGTAGTATTCTACGACCCCTACAATAATATGGGTAATATTCTACGACTCCTACAATATGGGTAGTACTGTACGACCCCTACAATAATATGGGTAGTACTATACGACCCCTACAATAATATGGGTAGTACTGTACGACCCCTACAATAATATGGGTAGTACTGTACGACCCCTACAATAATATGGGTAGTACTGTACGACCCCTACAATAATATGGGTAGTAATGTACGACCCCTACAATAATATGGGTAGTACTGTACGACCCCTACAATAATATGGGTAGTACTGTACGACCCCTACAATAATATGGGTAGTACTGTACGACCCCTACAATAATATGGGTAGTACTGTACGACCCCCTACAATAATATGGGTAGTACTGTACGACCCCTACAATGATATGGGTAGTACTGTACGACCCCTACAATAATATGGGTAGTACTGTACGACCCCTACAATAATATGGGTAGTACTGTACGACCCCTACAATAATATGGGTAGTACTGTACGACCCCTACAATAATATGGGTAGTACTGTACGACCCCTACAATAATATGGGTAGTATTGTACGACCCCTACAATAATATGGGTAGTACTGTACGACCCCTACAATAATATGGGTAGTACTGTACGACCCCTACAATAATATGGTTAGTACTGTACGACCCCCTACAATAATATGGGTAGTACTGTACGACCCCTACAATAATATGGGTAGTACTGTACGACCCCTACAATAATATGGGTAGTACTGTACGACCCCTACAATAATATGGGTAGTACTGTACGACCCCTACAATAATATGGGTAGTACTGTACGACCCCTACAATAATATGGGTAGTACTGTACGACCCCTACAATAATATGGGTAGTACTGTACGACCCCTACAATAATATGGGTAGTACTGTACGACCCCTACAATAATATGGGTAGTACTGTACGACCCCTACAATAATATGGGTAGTACTGTACGACCCCTACAATAATATGGGTAGTACTGTATGACCCCTACAATAATATGGGTAGTACTGTACGACCCCCTACAATAATATGGGTAGTACTGTACGACCCCTACAATAATATGGGTAGTACTGTACGACCCCTACAATAATATGGGTAGTACAGTACGACCCCTACAATAATATGGGTAGTACTGTACGACCTCACCAATAACGACCATCACCGTTGCCTCTCCCTCGTGTCTCTAACAAGGAAGAGCGAGACCTATTGACACAGCCGCTAGTGGATGAGATCAAATATATTCAGTGACCAGGGGCCAGATTAACGAAGCGGTTACGCAAGTACTTACCAGCCTGTCCATCTTTTTTCAATCTTAAACGGCTTTGTTTACAATTTTTAAACAGTTAATGAGCTCCGAAGCACCAGGAGGCTGTTTATAACAATAAAAACAGTTGATTAAGGTTGTAAACTGTTTAATAAGTGTAACCAAAGCCGTCAAAGATTGAGGAAAGATGTACACGTTCGAAAGTACTTGCGTAACGGCTTCGTGAATCTGGCCCCTGGTTTGCATGACTCGTTTCACAAACATTACTCAATGCATTTGTGTACTGAAGATGTGTGTTCCCCTAATGGAATACTCCACCCAAGTGAGGCAGACTCCACTCACTCACTCCACACCTGTGCCTTCCCTCCTTCCACACCTGTGCACTCCCTCCACACCTGTGCACTCCCTCCACACCTGTGAATTCCCTCCCTCCACACCTGTGAATTCCCTCCCTCCACACCTGTGCCCTCCCTCCCCCGTCACTGATGATGGGGGCAAGAAAGAGGCCAGCGCGCGCGTGACACTTTAATGCCTCGAGTGTGTGATCTTTAACTTATTGATTTCCCGTTGAACAATGTAACTATTTGTATCGTTTTATAATATCCAAGTTTGTGTAGGAGGCGTCCATTGTTGATGGGTGCCAGGGGGGGGGCGCGGGGGGGGGGGGTGATTAAGGGGCGCCTGGTGCCAGTGGTTATGAATGGTACTGTAATGGTACCGTGCCATTACTGATACTCTAGTCTTATGGTACCAAACTAGCAATACAGAGCATTAGAGGCTTCCGAAGATGATCGTTTATAAATTCTAAATATCACCCATGGTGGGTGACGGATGTCAGCCGTCCATGGTGGGTGACGGATGGCAGCCGTCCATGGTGGGTGACGGATGGTAGCCGTCCATGGGGGGTGACGGATGGCAGCCGTCCATGGTGGGTGACGGATGGCAGCCGTCCATGGTGGGTGACGGATGGCAGCCGTCCATGGTGGGTGACGGATGGTAGCCGTCCATGGTGGGTGACGGATGGTAGCCGTCCATGGTGGGTGACGGATGGTAGCCGTCCATGGTGGGTGACGGATGGTAGCCGTCCATGGTGGGTGACGGATGCCAGCCGTCCATGGTGGGTGACGGATGCCAGCCGTCCATGGTGGGTGACGGATGGTAGCCGTCCATGGTGGGTGACGGATGGTAGCCGTCCATGGTGGGTGACGGATGGTAGCCGTCCATGGTGGGTGACGGATGGTAGCCGTCCATGGTGGGTGACGGATGGTAGCCGTCCATGGTGGGTGACGGATGGTAGCCGTCCATGGTGGGTGACGGATGGTAGCCGTCCATGGTGGGTGACGGATGGCAGCCGTCCATGGTGGGTGACGGATGGCAGCCGTCCATGGTGGGTGACGGATGGTAGCCGTCCATGGTGGGTGACGGATGTCAGCCGTCCATGGGGGGTGACGGATGCCAGCCGTCCATGAGGGGAGGGGTGACGGATGCCAGCCGTCCATGGGGGGTGACGGATGCCAGCCGTCCATGGGGGGAGGGGTGACGGATGCCAGCCGTCCATGGGGGGAGGGGTGACGGATGCCAGCCGTCCATGGGGGGAGGGGTGACGGATGCCAGCCGACCATGGGGGGAGGGGTGACGGATGCCAGCCGTCCATGGGGGGAGGGGTGACGGATGCCAGCCGTCCATGGGGGGAGGGGTGACGGATGCCAGCCGTCCATGGGGGGAGGGGTGACGGATGCCAGCCGTCCATGGGGGGAGGGGTGACGGATGCCAGCCGTCCATGGGGGGAGGGGTGACGGATGCCAGGGCTTGTGAGAGCCGGAACACTGAAGCTGCCCCAAGTAATCATTCCTGCTCACTTGTATACCTTACCAGAAGCACCGGCCTGGAGCCTGCGTCGCACCAAACAACATTATGAAGAACAACGAACAACACTTTACCTTTTTCCTGTCTGTCTCCGTGTCCATGTTGCGTGGTTCTCCGTCCTTGGCTGCCTCCTCCAGCTGGTTGTTAGCGGCGGGCGTCCCGTGGAGCGCCATACCCAGCTGGTACATGAGCTGCGCGAAGGGCACGTCGCCGGCATCTTCCTCAGACATCTTGCGGGCCTGCAGCGCCTCTGGGGCGTGGGCTTTGGGGGAGAAGGCGGCGGCGATGAGGGAAGAGGAGTATGGGTAACGTTCCTCAATACTCCCACCTTCGGGTTCATACTTCTCTCCCTTGTAGTAGTTCTCTATGAGCTCGATGCCGGTGGCAGCCACAGCCAGCACGGCCGCCGCCACCACAGCGCGCGTGACCACATTCACCATTTTTCCTGGCTACAGTTTTCACGAACTTGCGAGCAAGATCAAAAGTTTCGGATTGGCGTTCACTTGAGAGGGTGAGGGAGGGTCGGGCGAGACACGTCCGTCTACGGCGGCGGCTCACTTGCTACTGGCGTGTTCAAGTCTCCAGAGCAGCCAGCAGGCCTCAGGCCACACCCGCGCCACCTGTGCGTGTGAGCGCGTTCACGCGTGCATGCGTGCGTTCACGCGTGCATGTGTGCGTTAACATCCTCCCTAGTGTGAGACCTTGCGAGCGGTGAACCGTGAGCATGTGTGTCAAGAGTAGAGCTGTGTGGAGCCCAGCATCATGGGGGAGGCGGCGTGGTAGAGTGGATTCAGAAACTGGGTTACAGTGCATGGTTCATGTGGCACCAACACCCCCCTTCCCCCCCTCCTCCTCAAGGTTCACATGGCACCAGCACCCCCCTCCCCCCCCCCTCCTCAAGATTCACGTGGCACCAGCACCCCCCTCCCCCCCCCTCCTCAAGATTCACGTGGCACCAGCACCCCCCTCCCCCCCCCCTCCTCAAGATTCACGTGGCACCAGCACCCCCCTCCCCCCCCCTCCTCAAGATTCACGTGGCACCAGCACCCCCCTCCCCCCCCCCCTCCTCAAGATTCACGTGGCACCAGCACCCCCCGTCCCTCACCCCTCACCAAAACATACACGTCCATGCACACACGCATCTCTGATTAGTTAACCCTCAGTGCTTGTAAAAATTTCCATTCTCATACAGCAAGTCTTGCCGCCGCGTCCAGTACGCGGGAGAGAAAATGAGGATGTCCCATCAGCGTCGTAATTAGGCGACTTAACGGGTTTAATCTTCTGAAGTTTTTGACAGACAATGCATATTAATCTTGAAATTAACAGTGGGAACTACTCTGGGCAATTGTCAGTGGTTGAGTGAGTGACACAGGTCACTGTCAGCGTACTACTGACACTCATTGTACCAGCCTCGCTACCACTAGGCTAACATTGTACCAGCCTCGCTACCACTAGGCTAACATTGTACCAGTTTCGCTACCACTAGGCTAACATTGTACCAGCCTCGCTACCACTAGGGTAACATTGTACCAGTCTCGCTACCACTAGGCTAACATTACCAGCCTTGCTACCACTAGGCTAACATTGTACCAGTCTCGCTACCACTAGGGTAACATTGTACCAGCCTCGCTACCACTAGGGTAACATTGTACCAGTCTCGCTACCACTAGGCTAACATTGTACCAGCCTCGCTACCACTAGGGTAACATTGTACCAGTCTCGCTACCACTAGGGTAACATTGTACCAGCCTCGCTACCACTAGGCTAACATTGTACCAGTCTCGCTACCACTAGGCTAACATTGTACCAGCCTCGCTACCACTAGGCTAACATTGTACCAGTCTCGCTACCACTAGGCTAACATTGTACCAGTCTCGCTACCACTAGGCTAACATTGTACCAGCCTCGCTACCACTAGGCTAACATTGTACCAGCCTCGCTACCACTTGGCTAACATTGTACCAGTCTCGCTACCACTAGGCTAACATTGTACCAGTCTCGCTACCACTAGGCTAACATTGTACCAGTCTCGCTACCACTAGGGTAACATTGTACCAGCCTCGCTACCACTAGGCTAACATTGTACCAGTCTCGCTACCACTAGGGTAACATTGTACCAGCCTCGCTACCACTAGGCTAACATTGTACCAGCCTCGCTACCACTAGGCTAACATTGTACCAGCCTCGCTACCACTAGGCTAACATTGTACCAGCCTCGCTACCACTAGGCTAACATTGTACCAGTCTCGCTACCACTAGGCTAACATTGTACCAGTCTCGCTACCACTAGGGTAACATTGTACCAGTCTCGCTACCACTAGGCTAACATTGTACCAGTCTCGCTACCACTAGGCTAACATTGTACCAGGCTCGCTACCACAAGGCTAACATTGTACCAGTCTCGCTACCACTAGGGTAACATTGTACCAGTCTCGCTACCACAAGGCTAACATTGTACCAGTCTCGCTACCACTAGGCTAACATTGTACCAGCCTCGCTACCACTAGGGTAACATTGTACCAGTCTCGCTACCACAAGGCTAACATTGTACCAGTCTCGCTACCACTAGGCTAACATTGTACCAGTCTCGCTACCACTAGGCTAACATTGTACCAGAATCGCTACCACTAGGCTAACATTGTACCAGCCTCGCTACCACTAGGCTAACATTGTACCAGCCTCGCTACCACAAGGCTAACATTGTACCAGCCTCGTTACCACAAGGCTAACATTGTACCAGCCTCGCAACCACTAGGGTAACATTGTACCAGCCCCACTACCACAAGGCTAACATTGTACCAGCCTCGCTACCACTAGGCTAACATTGTACCAGCCTCTCTACCACTGAACCTCCCAGAGTGGTACCTCACCCCCTCTCGTCCTCCCAGAGTGGTACCTCACCCCCTCTCGTCCTCCCAGAGTGGTACCTCACCCACTCTGGACCTCCCAGAGTGGTACCTCACCCCCTCTGGTCCTCCCAGAGTGGTACCTCACCACCTCTGGTTCTCCCAGAGTGGTACCTCACCACCTCTCGTCCTCCCAGAGTGGTACCTCACCACCTCTGTTCCTCCCAGAGCGGTACCTCACCCCCTCTGGTCCTCCCAGAGTGGTACCTCACCCACTCTGGACCTCCCAGAGTGGTACCTCACCCACTCTGGACCTCCCAGAGTGGTACCTCACCCCCTCCGGTTCTCCCAGAGTGGTACCTCACCCACTCTGGACCTCCCAGAGTGGTACCTCACCACCTCTGGTCCTCCCAGACTGGTACCTCACCCCCTCTGGTCCTCCCAGAGTGGTACCTCACCACCTCTGGTCCTCCCAGAGTGGTACCTCACCCCCTCTGGTCCTCCCAGAGTGGTACCTCACCCACTCTGGACCTCCCAGAGTGGTACCTCACCCCCTCTGGTCCTCCCAGACTGGTACCTCACCCCCTCTGGTCCTCCCAGAGTGGTACCTCACCACCTCTGGTCCTCCCAGAGTGGTACCTCACCCCCTCTGGTCCTCCCAGAGTGGTACCTCACCCACTCTGGACCTCCCAGAGTGGTACCTCACCCCCTCTGGTCCTCCCAGACTGGTACCTCACCCCCTCTGGTCCTCCCAGAGTGGTACCTCACCCCCTCTGGTCCTCCCAGAGTGGTACCTCACCCACTCTGGACCTCCCAGAGTGGTACCTCACCCCCTCTGGACCTCCCAGAGTGGTACCTCACCACCTCTGGTCCTCCCAGACTGGTACCTCACCCCCTCTGGTCCTCCCAGAGTGGTACCTCACCACCTCTGGTCCTCCCAGAGTGGTACCTCACCCCCTCTGGTCCTCCCAGAGTGGTACCTCACCCACTCTGGAGCTCCCAGAGTGGTACCTCACCCCCTCTGGTCCTCCCAGAGTGGTACCTCACCACCTCTGGTCCTCCCAGAGTGATACCTCACCCACTCTGGACCTCCCAGAGTGGTACCTCACCACCTCTGGTCCTCCCAGAGTGGTACCTCACCACCTCTGGTTCTCCCAGAGTGGTACCTCACCCACTCTGGACCTCCCAGAGTGGTACCTCACCACCTCTGGTCCTCCCAGAGTGGTACCTCACCACCTCTGGTCCTCCCAGAGTGATACCACACCCACTCTGGACCTCCCAGAGTGGTACCTCACCACCTCTGGTCCTCCCAGAGTGGTATACCTCACCCCGTCTGGTCCTCCCAGAGTGGTACCTCACCCCCTCTGGTCCTCCCAGAGTGGTACCTCACCACCTCTGGTTCTCCCAGAGTGGTACCTCACCCCCTCTGGTCCTCCCAGAGTGGTACCTCACCACCTCTAGTCCTCCCAGAGTGGTACCTCACCCCTTCTGGTCCTCCCAGAGTGGTACCTCACCACCTCTGGACCTCCCAGAGTGGTACCTCACCCACTCTGGACCTCCCAGAGTGGTACCTCACCCCCTCTGGTCCTCCCAGAGTGGTACCTCACCACCTCTGGTTCTCCCAGAGTGGTACCTCACCCCCTCTGGTCCTCCCAGAGTGGTACCTCACCCCCTCTGGTCCTTCCAGAGTGGTACCTCACCACCTCTGGTCCTTCCAGAGTGGTACCTCACCACCTCTGGTCCTCCCAGAGTGGTACCTCACCCCGTCTGGTCCTCCCAGAGTGGTACCTCACCCACTCTGGGCCTCCCAGAGTGGTACCTCACCCCGTCTGGTCCTCCCAGAGTGGTACCTCACCACCTCTGGTTCTCCCAGAGTGGTACCTCACCCCCTCTGGTCCTCCCAGAGTGGTACCTCACCACCTCTATTCCTCCCAGAGTGGTACCTCACCCCCTCTGGTCCTCCCAGAGTGGTACCTCACCACCTCTGGACCTCCCAGAGTGGTACCTCACCCACTCTGGACCTCCCAGAGTGGTACCTCACCCCCTCTGGTCCTCCCAGAGTGGTACCTCACCACCTCTGGTTCTCCCAGAGTGGTACCTCACCCCCTCTGGTCCTCCCAGAGTGGTACCTCACCCCCTCTGGTCCTTCCAGAGTGGTACCTCACCACCTCTGGTCCTTCCAGAGTGGTACCTCACCACCTCTGGTCCTCCCAGAGTGGTACCTCACCCCCTCAGGTCCTCCCAGAGTGGTACCTCACCACCTCTCGTCCTCCCAGAGTGGTACCTCACCCCCTCTGGTCCTCCCAGAGTGGTACCTCACCACCTCTAGTCCTCCCAGAGTGGTACCTCACCCCCTCTGGTCCTCCCAGAGTGGTACCTCACCACCTCTGGACCTCCCAGAGTGGTACCTCACCCACTCTGGACCTCCCAGAGTGGTACCTCACCACCTCTGGACCTCCCAGATTGGTACCTCACCCACTCTGGACCTCCCAGAGTGGCACCTCACCACCTCTGGTCCTCCCAGACTGGTACCTCACCCCATCAGGTCCTCCCAGAGTGGTACCTCACCACCTCTCGTCCTCCCAGAGTGGTACCTCACCCACTCTGGACCTCCCAGAGTGGTACCTCACCACCTCTCGTCCTCCCAGAGTGGTACCTCACCCACTCTGGACCTCCCAGAGTGGTACCTCACCCCCTC